CAGTCAAATGCAAAAAGCCGCACTGCTTGGATCTGCACGCATATTATGAAAATACATTACGACGTCCTAGGACCCTGGGTGGGGCCCGACTAGTAACCAATGCCAAATCCAGCGAAACAACTGGCCGCTGTGATACCATTCTGTTGTTGCGAATAATACTACTAGTAATAATGTATTATGTTAGTATTGTTACTCAAAAATGTACAGATTTTCAGGGGGAGAAAGTAACATAAAGTAAATTATTTTACAAAAATTCCAACTGAGAAAAGTATTTCTAGAATCAAAAGTAACCATTCAATGACCTTTCCAGTGGTGGGTTGCAGGTGGTACGCCCTGGTAGGGGCATACCAGTGTCTGCCGGGAGCACCGGATACTGTTCCAATACGATGCTCCAGAGGGCCCACCTGCCCTCTCGTCCTCCTTACCTGTATTTGAGTTCTTCGGCATTTCTGCACACGGAGCATACAGCGCCTATGCGATGCTCTGCCAAGCAGCTGGAGCATCGCCGAGGCGTCATGGAGCATTGCAGGAGGTAAGGACACATGAACAATGTGTGAGATGGGTGTGGTGCGTGCATGCTGTGTGCGTTCTTTCTGGTGAATGCCGGACCACATTGCACGGTACCAATTGCAACGGGATCCGGAAACCACCACTGGACTATTCCTACCTTTTTTTTAAATCTATCCACAAGCCCCACCCCGCCGAACACCCGAACACCCCACAGGTATTTAAATCAAATGAAATTGTTTGCTCAGAAGGCAAAAAAAAGGAAGGCATGCTATGTATTCATATCCACTTTCTTAATTTTCTTTAAATATCCATGCAAATAAAATGGGGCCAAGTCAATCTGGGATGACAGGTAGTGTCCTTTTTAATGCAGGAATCTGTGGTAGTCACCAGTGGTGTTATTTGTTGCATTGATGCTTATGACACCCAGTTCCTGAACTTTATCTTATGGAAGAAGTTGGACCTGTTCCTACTGTACCAACTCCCCCATTGGTACATTCTTCCTACTGTAAACATTTCCTTCAGAAATCCCAGTTATTAAGTGTACATCACTACCATCAACCTGGTACACATCCAATGATGGTGGATATATATTTATGGAAGGGAGATTGAATGAACTATTAGAGGCAAAAAAAAAAAAAAAACCCCTTAACATTAAATGTACAAAATCCAAAGGAGAAAAAATAACAAAGATAAAACAAAACTAGACCAAAAATCTGAATTAAAATGTCAAAAACCAATAGAATTTATCCTTTCCAGTTAAACATTGACAGTTCTTCAATCAATGTAACTCTACTATTAATACACACACACACACACACACACACACACANCCATCCATCCATCCATCCATCCATCCTTATTTATTTATTTATTTATTTATTTATTTATTTATTTATTTATTTATTTATTTATTTATTTATTTATTCTCTCTTTCTTTTTCCTTTCTTTCTTTTTCTTCCTTTGTTTCTTTCTTTTTTCTTTCTTTCTCTCTTCCTCCCTTTCCCTCCTTCCTTCCCCTTCTGTCCCTTTCCTCCTCCCCCTCCTTTTTTCTTTCTTTCTTTCTTTTTAAATCTTTCTTTCTTTTTTCCTTTCTTTTCCTTCCTTTCTTCCTTTCTTTTTTCTTTCTTTCTCTCTTCCTCTGCCTCCCTCCTTCCTTCCCCTCCTGTTCCTTTTTTGTTTCTTTCTATCTTTCTTTCTATCTTTCTTTCTTTTCTCTCTTTCTACTTAGTTATTTCTTCCTCCCTTTTTCCCTCTCCCGCAATCCCCAACATTCCCTTCTCTTTCTTTCCCATTCCTCCCTTTCTCTTCCTTCAGCATTGGCATTCCTTGTGTAAACATTCATCAATACACATGCTCGTATTCTTCATTCAAGTATATTTTACTTCATGTTTCTTTCATCCCCAACCCTAATTATGAATGAATAAAGAGGGCAGGCAGTGAACCAAGAAAGAGGAACTGTTTCAAATGTATCACGCTTGGTCTGACAATGAAAAAGGAAGAAAGGGAGATAATCGTATCTCGGAGTTTATAGAAAAGAGTTATAGAAGGTCTCTTGGGGAAGGAAGGTCTTCAGGGACCTGTTGAGTGATAGTTCGAAAGCAGCAGAGGAAACCCTCAGACTAATGGATGAAACCAGAGTTTTATTTTTGTAAAGTAGAGAATGTCCATTTGTTAGACACTGCTGCCATCTTGCACAATAGGAGAAAAGAAAAGAAAAAACAATGGGAAAAGGAAGAAGAAACGAATAGCATGCTATGTACTGTGCTAAACAGGAGCAGCAACTCTGAAGTCCACTACTCCTTATTGTTGAGTTAGTCTCACCCGTCCATAGCCCAGCCATGGAAATACAGAGCCAAACAACTAGATACAGGTTTAATGGCCGAGGTCCATAGATAGATGCAAAATGAGCGCTGGGAACTATCCCCTCCTGGGGCTGTAAATAGCCATAACCACGCTCATGGCCCAGTCCAACCCCATAGCTATCATCTGGCAGTGCACAGTCCTCTTTCTTTCATTCCTCCAGGTCTGCTTTGATGTAACTGGTGCCAGTCAGCTGTTCTGGCTGTTTTGCAGTTGGCACCAGTCAGCTGTTCTGGCTGTTTTGCAGTTGGCACCAGTCAGCTGTTCTGGCTGTTTTGCAGTTGGCACAAGTCNAACCAAAAGAAACTGAGGAATAACCCTTCTCTTTGGAGGGGAATATAATACCTTTGAGGACAACTAACAAGGACACGAGGTTCAGCCAGAGGGCCATTATTGCTTCTTCAAAAGATTGGAGGATTCTTACTGATGGGAAAACATTCAGACAATCACTCAGGGTTCAGTTTCTGAGAGCAGAAGGAGAGCAGGAAGATAAGATTCCATTGAACAGGAATCTGTCAGTGGATTTACATAGCCCTCAGGATAAAAGAGATCTACACACCGCTTTGACCTTCTAGAATGCCTTCATCCTCCATTGTAGATATGACTGAAAATGTCCCAACATCAGTTATGGTGTATTTATTTTAATCATTCAGACACAGGTGAAGCAACTGGTTGAGTTTGTCAGAAGGAAAATCACATCTTCAAAAGTCAATATGCTGCCTCATTTCAGCATTTGGGGAGCTCTATTGCTGGTAGATAACTTATTGTCTTATTCTCTGTATGATGGAGATGTAAATCACATTTAGTAGAACTATTTCCCACGTTTTCAAGTAAAAAAAATAGAGTCAAAATTGAAATCCATATTTTAGTCAGAGTCCCCTCAGTGTTCATCTATCAATGATAGTTCCTTGCCTTGTAGCAATTTTTAGATACTTCTCAGTATATGGTTCTTGTTGTAGTTTGTAGCATTTATTTTTTCTCTCTCTGTGTCATGCTTCAAATTTACTATTTACTAATACAGAAGGGAAAAATAAGACTTAACCTTTTGTATTTCCTCTGCCTTCCACAATATGGGGGATAATGAGACTTCTTTTCCTGACCTGATCAATAGCATAGGGCCAATTCCAAAGGCAAGATCAATATTTTAGTTTACCCTGTGCCTAATTTCCTTTCGTTCTTCATTTCCTCTTCTTTTCCTTTCCTTTCCTTCTCCTTTCCTCTTCTTTTCCTTTCCTTCTTCCTTTCCTTTGTCCATTCCATTACTTTCCTTCTTACTTTCTTCTTCTTTTCCTCTTTCTTTTCCTTTCCTTAACTTCTTCCTTTCCGTTCCTTCTTCATTTCCTCTTCCTCTTCTTTTCCTTTCCTTCTTCCTTTCCTCCTCTTTCTTTTCCTTCTTTTCATCTCCTTGACTTTCTTTTCTTTTCTTTTCCTTTACTTTATTCTTCTTTCCTTTCCTTCTTCCTTTCCTTCCCCTTCTTTCCCTTCATTTCCTTGCCTTATTTTGGCTGTCATTTTTTTCTTCCTTCCTTTCATTTCTTTCTTCCACTCCTCCTCCTTTCCTCTTCTTTCCTTTCCATTTCTTTCCCCTTATTTCCTTTTTTCTTTTCCTTCTTCCTTTTCCTTC